AAATCAATAAAATTCCTGCAAACACTAAAATGTTCGTTATACTCGTTAGTGCAAAATTGCGCTTACCTATTTATTTCGGCTTCTTGTAAATTCCAAATTGAATTTGAATTTAATTTTACATTCAAATTTGCTTTTCCTGTTCTGAATAATGAATTACAAAAACGGAAGGTCGCATTTAAATTAGAAAAAATAATGCCTGCAGGTAGGAATCCTGAAAACGTTCCTTTTTTCCACCAAATTACAAATATTATTCTTTAATTTTGCGCATAAATAAGTTTATAATTCATTTTCAAAGATTCTCTCATACTGCATACAGGAAAATCTAAAATCTAAAAACTGCTTAACCGACAAAAGTGATCTAAATATCAGCAGCCTTCCCTCGTTCAAATCGATATTCACTCGGCCGATTTTAGTAGAAAATAAGTCCAATAAATTACGGCATGTTACCGTTCTCGCCAGGCCCAGCGGTCACATATCGCATCCTATGAATCCTTCTGGATGTCCTGGCCCGGTCCCTTTTCGAGAACCAATATATCAGACGCTCAAAATCAGGGATCCCAATAAAAACACAGCAGGAGCTAAAATATAGCCCGATCGGTGACAGCACGAGCTATACTATTTCTCAACAACGAACTAAACCCAGTAAACAGATTGTTAAAAATATCCTTGCATAATACAGTAAATTTAATCGCGCATAGTACGCATAATACTTGTCTAAGTACAGGGCTGGGTTGGTTCAAAAAAGGGGGGGCGACAAACTACATAAATACGTGTGATATATTCGCGTAACGACGTTAAAATTCGATGTAGCTAGTCGGCGCAAATCTCAATTTAATTAGTTAAAACAATCCGGAACGTGCACACGTGAAATTAAGGCGGCAAGGGCGTATGTATTTCGCGGGTGCTTCGAGCCGGGTCGTTTAAGCATTCGGAGCGCATACGTTTCTCTAATGCTCAGGTAGATTAAGAGGTGTTGCGGGCGCCGCGACGGCCGGCTAAATCCCCATTTTATAACTTAATATGGTGGATTAAGGGCGGGGAAACGCGGCGACAATTCCGCTCTAAAATCACCTATGCTAATTGAGATATATTTTCAGCGCGAGCACATTAAAGGTATCCCTTGTTGACTGTATTTCGGAAGTAAGTGTGTATAAGGCGTGGTTTAGTATTACAATATTCTTGGCACTTACTTGTTATACTTTGGAAAAAAATTGGAGAGTCGTACATTAAACGATATCAGAAAGTCACATCAAGATCTGCTCGATAAATTATTAGTGTCGTGTAAATATAGGGAGGGAGAAAAGCGCGTTGGAATGGTAAAAAGCTCTCGCATTACTGTCGTGTTTATATTGTTGGAATAAAATGAACGATCAAAAAGAAATCGAGTGGTCGATGCACCAAAGCCGATAGAAATAAACGATATGGCATCTACGTATTTATACCGAACGGTTTCCCAGTACCTGGGGACTTCTCGACATAATGGAACTCTATTTCACGTCATAAACTGGCATTAATTTCTCAATTTATGCGACCCGAATTCGTGTATTACGATAAATTAATTATGCTTTAGACTGTTAATTAGTATTAACTGTGTACGTAATTTCCCGTAACATTTCGATGGTGTTAATGTGTGAAAAGACATATTTTTATAAAGTACATGGAGTTTTCAGAAAATAAAGTCTGATCGAATTTAAAAAAAAAACTCAACCAACGTTGCACAGAAGTCTGCTCGACCGGGAAATGGAAAGATGACCCAATAACCGTAACCTCGAATCGAACAAAGTTGAAAATTTAATTTACCAACTCTCCGCCAGCAATATTTTTATTGGAATAATATACTTTTTTCCGTCGACACTCGCAGTCGATATTTCATAAAACTACTTTTCAACTCGATCTTAAGTTGTCCGTCCCCGAGGAGTAGAATTTCATAAAGTTCGTCTGTAGTGCTATTCTTCTCATGATATATTGAGATTCGGCGTGGAGGCGATGCCGCGTCAAAATTCTAATAAAACTTAGCTCTATATATCCTTTTTTACCTTCGATGTAAATACGTTTTTAATTCCGAATATCGTGCTGTTAACTCGATGAGGCCGTATTGTAATTCAGCGGGCGCGATGGCGCAAATTCTAATAAAATTTAGGAGAATTCCCCGAAATCTATTTATCCCTTCTAGGGCGCGCCGACGTAGGGCAACTTTGAATATTGTTACTGGAAGGTGACGTGTTCGAAATTTGCTATGCAAGAAGACTTATGAAAGACTGCTCGCCCACTCAGAATATTAAGTTAGTTCCGAAATAGGTTTCGGTTTTTAGGTCAATGATTTTGAAATTTAGAACGATGTTTGTTTTAAAAAATACAGGATATTATTACTCGAGTTTAAACGATTTTCACCCTTATAAAATATTATTGTAGTCCTGTTTTTCTAGGGTTTCTCATTAAACTCCGGGCCCTCTGATGTTTGTTTCGAGTCGAATTTAAATTTTCCCTTCATTAATAAAATTAAAAAAACGTCGACGATTCCAACGGAAAATAATGGTTGCGTTAAATTTAATGAAATATCCCGTAAATTATTTTTTAATTATTTTCTTTACTGTCACGACTGGCACAGAATGTATTATTAGTTCATCGGAATATATTTTAATTATATTAAAAGTACATTATGTAAATTTCGAATTGGGGAATATTAAAAAAAATGTTAATTAAGGTTTCTGAAGCGGACAAATCTGTTCGTTTATAAAGAATTTTAAATGAATTAAGTTAATACATAATTGAGAAAATTAGGTAGACTACTTAATTAAAGTACACTGTTAATTTAATAAAGTAAAAGCTCATATAGCAGGGGATTAGAGAGATTATTGTTTTGCAAAGCATTAAATCTGTTGAAAGTTTCAAAACAACAGGTAGAATCAGTAAATACATAAAATAAATTGTACGGTCAAATAGGCGCATAAAACATAGAGATGAAATAGCGCAATAAACTAGGATAGTATCGTTTCCTATTTTAGTATAGAAGGTTAATTAAACCAATTTAAAAATCGGTCCGATTATATATTACTCCGGTATTTAGCCTAGACCATAAACATTCGTTTTAAAACCGGACGCACATCGAACCTTTTTGTCCCGTTTTCCCATCGGCGCAGATTAGGAAAATAAAACTTTTCGATTTATCGGAACAATGCGGATTCGTTCGGTTCCCATTGTTTATATGGATAGTTGCTCGAATGTCGACCATGGTTATTCGCATTTAGGCGAACCCGAACACCATTTTTCCATTTGTACAGCCAAATGATTCGTTTAATACGGCCATTCGTCCGAAATGAAAAAGCACAAAGCGGACCTGATAATTAGTTTTCGAATCCAAATTACCAATGCCGAATGCCTAAATCGTTCTATTATGCAACATAAATTTAATTTAAGAGTAAGTTTGAAATAAAAGGATCGATTTCGTACTGTTTCTAGACTATACTCACATCGAATCGATATTAAAAAGGGTGTAATATTTTTGCTAAATGGTCGGAAATCCAGAAATCCATCCTCTTCGGGATTGGCGTAGCAATGGGGCAACACACCCGTGAATTTTTAACAATGTTTATGATTTTCGAACTGGATACTTCCCGCATACGATATCCTCGGGGATTCGGTCCGCGAAAAGCGGATATATCTCGCCATGTAAATACAAACACAACTGACCCCAGAGGTGACTCTGTTGCGGCGCACACCCGTTACGAAACGATCCTTTCCTACTAATTTTATAAAAAATTGATAACCGCTACGTGAAATATTTTATTCCATTCGGGTAGGGTAAACTGAAAATTTCAGCATTACTTATGTATCAGAACGTTATAAGACCCAATTCCGGTTTTTTGTTTCGATACAATGCATGTCGATTATAAACAAATTATTGTAGTCTGGAATCTACCAAAACGCGTTGACGAACCAATTAGAGTTTCCTCTGTTTGGAAAAATTACGGTCAATTTTTTCGAAAACAACCCGGGTATACGTCGATAGAAGACCGTAAGGTAAAGGCTGCTTTGACGAGGCGATTAGAGTTGCCAGTTTCCCTCGCATCGGATATTGCTACTCGATGGTTTCGTGCTACTTTGATGTTTGCTCCTAATGACTTTGACCGCGCGACCGGAATTTATCGAAAAATCGCTTTCTTCGCTCCCATTTCCGACATCCTCCGTTGTTTTAATGCATCTATTATCAGATCTCTTTCCAGGCCTCTTCTACTCTCAAGATCATCCACGAAAAATCCACCATCCATACGCTCACGAAATCGAAGCTTTATTAATTTATTTACCACGAATTAGGACGTGATTGATTAGATCCGACCAACAAAATTCGGTTACGAAACTAATTAAACAATATTCCATTGTGTTCTTTTGCTATTCATTCGGAGGAGCCACTATTATCGACATGGCCAATACAATCCGAGAACTTTCATTTCATACAATTGGCCGAATAAAACTCTTCGACAAAGGCAAACATCCAAGTTAAATTGAGCTGTTTCGATTTCCTGCCGCGCTCTTTCTATTCTAGTACGAGCGGTGCATACAGGAAAATTTTAGTAAATCATTGAAAATTAAAAGAATGGGGAATACAAAGAATTTTAAAGAATAATTCTTCGTGATGTTAAAGAGGAATTTTACCTACTTTTTTAATTAATTTGTTGATGCATTGGGTGCATATTATACATTGTGCAATTTTTATGATTCCTGGTACCCTTTGTACTATTGGAAATTCGGTTGTATTGCCGTATCGTATATTTCTTTATACCGAGTTCTTGTCTTGCATACGATATCGAATATAAAGGGTCCGTCAGTTTTCCGGCATTAGATTACTTTGGAAATCGTCGAATGAAAACTTGCAGATATTTTATATCGAAAACTTCGAAGTCGTTATACAACAAAATCTTATTCGGAATATGTGAGAAGTACAAACAACATAAACCTCCACTTGTACAGCAGGGAGAGCATTTAGCATGAAAAATCCTTACCTTCCACCGACGAGCAGCGACTCGCCGTCCCTCATCACCAGCCGGAAGAAGTCCGTGTGTGTATCGTTGCCTCTGAAGCGATGCACGTCATCTTCCGCTCCTGCAAACAGAATATTCGCAATTACAACGGACGGAAATATACCGAAGCGTTCCGTTTAGCATAAAACAAACTCCCCGTCTTTCCGTACACACTCCCCGTTTAACTTCAGTTAGCTCTAATTAGATGCGGAACGGTTTACATCGGGAAAGAAAATGATAATTATCCTTTTGTTTAGTCGGAAAAAGAAAGCTTTTTACTCAAAGCTTCATTATCAAATAAAAGTGATTACTAAATATTAATTGCTTTTAGTGTATGTTTGCACGGAAGCTTTAGCAGGATTTTTAATTTGGTGAATGCACGAGTGTATTTAAGCTTTTTTTTTAATTTTGCTCTCGCAGGAAAAAACTGTATGTATTATCGAATTTTGGATGTTACTCCGGATAATCGATGAAGCATTGCATACAGCAAACGAAAAATGCAACACGTGCAGTCGTTTTTGTTTCTAATGGTATAGCGTACCAGATCAAAACAGAAAAAAAATCATACATGTGCGCTACGTATAAAATTTATAGGGGATTTGAAAGTTGGAAAACTCGTAGAGAAAAAGGTATAAGACCAGCTATTTATTTAATCACTGTTTCGTTTTGGGTAACGTTCTCATCTCGCACCATCGAGACCCATTTCAGACATTAATCAGATAATTCCGCTTCGGGAATTTTTGCTGATTAGGCCGGATTTAAGTTTCTCTCCGACGACACTCCATTTTCGTAGGGGATTCGCTTCGAACTTATACGGCAAAAAAGCGACGGAGTTCGCGAAATCCGACCTTCCGAACGGCTGAAATACGAACGAGAGGGCTCGAATAGTTTTCCTGAGCGAACGTCGCCTAGTTGATTAATGACCCGGACTTTTCTATAAAAACACGAAAATGTGATTGAAAGCTTCCATTTAGATATCTTACAAGTTTTCCCATCATAATATCGATTCCGTCACAGCACTCTAACTTCCTATCTTAGGGGTATCTAAGGCATTAAGTCCTAAGGAATTACGCGCTTTCGGAATTGCACCTTCACAACTTCAGATTTAGCGTAAAACAATATCAGATTTAATCTTAACGTGTCTCGTTTTTTACTCTCAATTTCAAATTGTTTAGTCTCTACTTAAGTTCAAAAGGCATAGAGATAAAATACATGCACACAAAATGCTTATAAAAGACAGATGGAAGTGATTTGCTGTATCGGGAGCAATATTGGAGTACATATATTCGAAAGGCAATCTCGATTCATGGACGATCAGTCGAAGCTGCGCCATTATATTCCCATTTACTTTTCACTATATAACTATACCGGTATCGTCCGCAATTCCCCAACGTGCCGTTCGAATTTTCCAATTCCACTGGGATATTTGGAATTTCTCAATACAAATGTCTACTTCAACTCGTTAACTTTTTTTTTGTAATAAGCAACTACAGGAAAATTGCTCTAATTGATGAAATCCGAAAGGGTTAATTGGCCTGAGAACGGTCCTGCAGAGGTCCCCGCGCTCCTCGAGCGCGCCAACCGGGAACGCCGCTTATTTGTCACAATGATTGAAGCAGCTTTCCGGGATATACATGTCCTCAGAGCTATTGCTTCGATTAATCACTCGGGCAATTTCATTTCGCGTTGCCCGCTTCTATACGTACGCTAAATTTGCGACGCGCCGGGGGAACGAATACCTGCAAATTTGCACCTTCGCTTTGCACCTACTCCAAATCAATTTGTTGCACTTCAAACTTTAACAGTTGATAAAAAGGATTAACAATTAGATTAATCTTCTTTCCTACGTGAGCAAACAAAGATCTACATCACTGTCAGAGTGCTCGTTGGGTTCGAGGGTTCGTCGTGCATCAACATCCTCTATCTTTGAACTCTCTCCACCCGTGGAAGAAGCGTTCGAGTCGCTAATGAGGAGTTTATCGCCCCGTGCGTCGCGTAATTACCGGCATTTCCACGTCCGCTCCGCGATTAAGGCTCCTAATCAAACAAGCCGGTTATTCCCGCTCCTCTAGTCTCTTTATTTGCCTTCGTATTTCCGCTTCGATCAAAAGTTGAAGCCGGTTTTTGTTTAAATATAGTTCTTCCTCCCTTTTCTTATCCCATGTATGACTGTTTGCCTTGAAATATCTCAACTTCACTTGATAGTTATGGGGATTGTGCAAAAGTTTGATATAGGTGTAGGGTAAAATTCGAAGGTATTCTACGTTATACGAGTCCGTGATTCGAAAGTTGCGTGTGGCAATTTAAATTAGATCGGAATTATTTATAAATCGTCTTCGATCGTTATATACACGTAGAAGGGGTGCATATTTCGACCTGTCCTTCTTGTTCATCGCGTGCTACCCAACAAATTACCCGTTCTGTTTTAAATTTTTTTCCATGAATTTTTAACGTCGAAGCGGAATTGAATTTTTAGCAAATCCAATCCATAATTAAATTAGTTGATAAATTTATGGATTTATTTGAGGAAGAAAAATTGCCCCTGCAACGCTAATAAGGTATTATTAGAACACCTAACAATCGCATCGGGTGTACGAGTGTATTATTTATTAGTCCTCGTAAAAACGCAATCTATTTCGAAACGAGGGTAATTTATGCGGCTCCTTATCCTGGAAATATGAAAATGGCGCATATTTGCATTGTTGAACGCACTCTTATCCGCGAGATATGCTGCTCTCATAGAATATGATTGATATTACGCGGAGGAATATCAATCATATCCCTGCCATTTTGTACGTGTCTCATCAAACACTTTGGGTTTCATTTTCTCAAGGCACATACGAAATATCTTTAGCTCTGATTCTGATCCGATTGTCTCTATGGAATAATTTATTAGCCCATTAATAATTCTAAAAAGGTTCATTACATATTCCCTCCACACCAAAACCTATAGGATGTTTAGAGGAGGTATTATTAGAAAAGTTTGCATGTTTTGCAACAATTTTCCCTAACGCGAGTAATTAATGTAATTAACCTGGATTGATAAATTAAAAATCGCTCGCGAATCGTAATTATTGTAATGGCTTATTGTTTGGTTGAATCTTTAAACAAATACGTTTCGAGCGGAATTTTTGCGCTATCGAAATAATTAAACCGCATAAATAATTAACGAGAATATAGTGGAAATGGCCCGCCAGTGGATATACGACTAATGAAAATTTGTTGTATTATATTGTTTACAATAATGATCGGTAATTCCTAATCAGAGCTATAACATTGGGGCATTAATCGTAATAATTAGTTCAATTAGTTAATGAGTTTTATAAATAAATAGCGAGGCGCGTCCAAAATTCGTTAATAAATAACCATCATTAAGATAATTCATTGTATATTCATTAAATTAAAAAAGTAATTAAAAAATGTTACATCGCAGGCAATAGGAAAGTCTTTTTAATAAAAACAAATCGTCATCAGCTAAGGCACGTTACCGGACTATGCATATTCAAGTAGGGCGCCCTTTATTTACAGTTGATAAGACTCCGTGTCGTTTTTTTTTTCGGCAGTTTTTCCTCGTTTTCCCCGACAGACGTCCGTTTAATGGAATTCCTGCCGTCGACAGACGTGACGACGTCACTACGTTATTTAGAGAAAGGGAAAAAACACCAGAAAAATAAAAACTAAAACGAGACGGGAATGCGTGTGCGCTTCCTGTACAGTGATTTCTTTGTTTCCGGAATGAAGGACTATTTGATTAATCGCTTCCTAACTCCGCAAACTTTCTTCTCGGCACGCGTCACATGCGGCTGGAAAGTTAACGAAACTCCGCGATAGGATTGATTTTAAAACGTCGCAACTATAATGAGTTTTCTGGTATCGATTATGTTTAGAATTTCATCCGAAGATTACATCTACACATTGTCAATTAATGCGCCGGGTCCGCTATTCTCGTACGGTTTTTCCGTAAAATCTCCGTTAAACAACGGTCCCCGTTATACGGACGAGCGAATTAATGCGGGGTATTAGTTGTTGTTTCGAATATTTTCGGTGATTTGCGTTTCGTTAATCTCCGTCGCGGCGAATCCGGAGCGGAACAAATTCCGGGCGAAAGGGGATCGCTTCCGATCCGAATCGTACTCAAAACCATTCGTTTTTCATTAATCGCACGCGCTCGACCGGGCGCTGGATTAGGAATTACCAAACGAAGAATTTAATTACCCCCAAATAATGATGCTGTAGATTGTAGAATAACAAATCGAAGTGTATAGAATTTAAATGTAATTTTTTTTGCTCTTTCTGTATGTGTTTTTCTTGAGGTGATTAGTATGATTTATTACTACATAGGATTAGCGAATAAGGTGTGGTATATAGTTTAGAACTTGTTAATTAAAGCAGATAAACTCGGCGTTTGCAGGAAAAAGAAATTCCCAAAAACTCGGTTTTAATCTCCTTTCGAATATTTCAGAAAGTTGCGCGAAAGTTTAACGGAACGCTCCTTTATCCTGCCGGTGTTCCCGCGAACAGATAAGAAAACAAATATAAAAACCGTCCTAATTCGTTACGCGAAGAATTAATTCGGCGTTCCGCGGGGATCGCTTTATCAGATTAGAGGGAAAAGTTCGGGCTTAAATGCATTTGTAAAACAGAACGATCGCCGTATTTTAAAAGCCGTAGGAAAGAGAGTACACAATGGAATTATTTTTTCATTCGACGCGACGAAACGCGCGACTAAAAGATGAAATTTAGCGGGCGAACATTCGTTAATTACGATCGTTTTCGAGGGAAAACGCCGCGTGGCATCGGAAAAATTTTAATTCCGACAACAAACCTGTATTTCCAGCGTCTTATATGTCGCATGAAAACGCGAAAAAAAATATTAAACAACAAACGTTGATATAAATAACAAAATTAAATTACGTCTCCTAATTAACGAATTAAATCCGAAAAATAAATGAAAAATTCGTCCGTTTCGGGCGCGGGTTTTTGAAGAGCGTTCGAGCTGGAGCGGCGCCGGCAAAAAAATCCTCATTACCGCACAAATATATAACCGGCGAGGAAAAACGAAGAAAAGCCGGCTGGAAAAAAGAAGAGAGCCATACGTTGTTGTCAAC